GATGTATGTCAAATTAAATTATCCTAGAAAAACCATAATAGAAATTCAGGATAAATAACTTCTCAGTTGATGTTAAACAATAAACTATTCTCCATCTGAATTAATATCAAGTTTACAGGGTAATGAGCATTACAGTGAAAAGACTCATGAAGAAAATGTGGTACCTTTCCTATCCTATTACTTTTCCCAGTTCTTGGAAACTACATGCAACACCCTTGGACACACTGGTTTTCAAATGGATTTGTTGCACGAAAGCTGATTAAATTTCTTCTCCAAATGAGAGACCTGTTACAAGAAATGTTGCATATTAAATTCTACTTACTGAAAATATGCATTTATGACATTTAAATTATATTCCCCAATGTAAGCACTTAATTTCATTATAATTCCTATCTTGATCTAACTTTACAGTCATTACCAAATAGAACAGTGTTGAACATAGAAGCACAATGACTGAGTTGATTATGAAACCCTTGAGTAAAAGCAGAGTAAAATGCTGGCCTTGCTGAAGTCAGCGAAAGAGCTGCTGCAGATTTCACTGGCACTACTATTATATTCTTTACATTCACTCTTCATCTGCCATGAAAGTGAAAATAATATTTACTGTATTCTACAAATATTTTCTAGGTTTTAAAAGCCACTTTTTAATTTCTTCTTCAGTTCTCACTCCAGTAAATAAAGTAAGATGAAGACACGCCTCAGAGGTTGTCCTGCATTTTGGGAGAAAATGTACACAAGGAAGCCTTCAACAATAGATTATTGCCAGTGAATAGTGATGCTAAAGCCAGAAGCTTCACTACAGTATTAACACAGAAAGAATGTTTTTAATTTACTATGTTACATATTTATTTGAAAGTACTATCTTCTCAATGAGAAAATAATACTTTCCAACTTTTTAATTTTTCTATTCTATCATGCAAATGTATGACAGAAAGACTTGCAGTTATTTCTAAGATAGTACTGATTTTTAAAATGCTTATATAATTTTTTTCCCATATATTACTCTGTGGGCAGTAATTGTTGGTGCCAACCGTAAAGCTGCGGATGAACAGCTGTTGTTACAGCCCAGAAAGCCAATCATACCCGGGGCTGCACCAAAAGCAGTGTTACCAGCAGGTTGAGGGAGATGATTCTGCCCCTCTACTCTGCTCTCATGAGACCCCACCTGGAGTGCTGCATCCAGCTCTGGGGTCCTCAGCACAGGAAAGACCTGGACCTGTTGGAGTGAGTCCAGAGGAGGACCACCAAGATGATCACAGGGATTGAACACCTCTCCTATGGAGAAGGGAGCTCTGTGGGAATTGTGGCCTTTCAGTTATAAGAAAGATGGGGACAAACTTTTTAGCCCGTTGCAATAGGACAAGGGGTAATGGTTTCAGTTCAGAAAGGATATTGAGGTGCTGGAGCGGGTCCAGAGAAGAGCAACAAGGCTGGTGAAGGGACTAGAGCATAAGTCCTATGGGGAGAGGCTGAGGGAGCTTAGCCTGGAGAAGAGGAGGCTCAGAGGTGACCTCATGGAACTACCTTCTCAGGTGGGGGTTGGTCTCTTCTCTCAGGCACTCAGCAATAAGGGGGCAGGGCTTAAGCTCCGCCAGGGGAAATTTAAGTTGGATATCAGGAGAAAATTCTTTACAGAGAGAGTAATGGGGAATGGGCTGCCCAGAGAAGTGGTGGATTCACCATCCCTGGAGATTTTTAAGCGCAGATTGGACGTGGCACTGAGTGCCATGATCTAGTAAATGGACTGGATTTGGACCAAGGGTTGGACTCGATGATCTCGGAGGTCTTTTCCAACCCAATCGATTCTATGATTCTATGATTCTAAGCTGAAAGAGGGTCGAATTAGATTAGATGTAAGGAAGAAGGTTTTTACAATGAGGGTGTTAAAACACTGGAACAGCTTGTCCAGAGAAGTTGTGGATGCCCCATCCCTGGAAGCATTAACGATGAGGTTGGATGGGGCTCTGAGAAACCTAATCTAGTTGAAGATGTCCCTGCTTATTGCAGGGGGGTTGGACAAGATAACCTTTAAAGGTCCCTTCCAAGCCAAACCATTCTGTGATTCTGTGATTCTATAAAAGACAATGCACACTTAAAAAAAATCGTGTTTCAAAACAGGAAAGTTAAACTTTCAGGTTTGCTATGTAACATTTTTTGTGTGATCCCTCATCTGAAAACTATTTATTTTACCAAGCTTCAGTTAATGGGAACAGAATGCATCTATCTCAGACATAGTACCCAAAGATATGCTATGTCCAGCTCTCCACCTCCTGAAGAATCCCTTTATCTCAATGTTTGGTCATCATCTGAGTTATGTGTAAATAAAACTGGTTAGGCAAGTTTTGACACCTAGAGTGGCAAAAGTATACTAACAAACACTGTTTACAAAACCTGTAGATCCAGCTTTTCACTTGTCAGCTTCTAAGGGCATCTAATTAACACCCAATATTAGGTGTTAATTAACTCCATCTGTATTGCTGGGTAAACTCTGCATTCCAAGGAAAAGGAAGAGTAGCTTGGACTTCACTTTGAACATCAGCTTTTCAGTTTATCTTTTTGCATGCAAATATTTTACCTGGTACATTAATTTTGCTTTTTATTTTTAATTTTATTCACTCTTAAGTAAGGGCTTCTACACTTCTGAAATCCTTAGATGATACTAATAACTTTGAAGTTCCCAAATAATTTTGACAAACTTGAACTCTCTCTATTAAAAGCAATAACTACATAAAATAATCACACTAGTATGTGTTTTTAAAGCTGAGATGACAAAATATTTGAAATATTTTTCTAATGGAAACTGCAAATGTAGTACAGCCTAGCTTTACTGTCAAGGCCAAATTCTACAACCTTCTGTCAGAAAAACTTCTCTAGATTGCACTAAAACCTGAAGGCTTTTGGGTAGTGCCTACAACAGGAAAATACATACCGCAGTAAAAATATAACATATGGGCAGAGAAATTAGCTATCAAAAATTCAGAAGAATACAGCCCATTATTTTAGTCAAATGGTTTGGTTTTGGATTAGACTGTGTTCTTATTCCAGTGACTCAGTAACAGAATCTAAAATTCCATTTTCATTCATTAGGAAAGGACACCTGTCTGGCTCTGGATGGTGGCATTTATGAAGTTTTTATAGAGTTTGAAAGATTTTCATTTCATCCATGCTTCTTTTCACATTCAGACTCATGTAGGGAATGTCATTCCTATAATCAGAAACAGAAAATATGAACTGCTCATAAAGAAAAGTGATGGACATCTACAGCTGTACCAATAGTCATCTTATGATTATTTTCTTTGCACATTATTTGCTCTGTCCACTTCTTTCAAAAGAAATGTAGAAAATGTAGGTCCTTCCAATTAGGCTTTGTGTTTCACTGAGCTTAGCTGAGCTGCCCTGCCAGGGGCAAGTCCAGTGAGACAGGGCTGGTTACAGTGCTAGTGGAAAATCTCCATAAAACTGCCCTCCACAGGAAGCCACAGACCCAACAGAAAAAGTGGGCACACTGCATTTCCTTCCTCATCTCTTGCCATCACATAGCATAAGCTACTAACTGCTCTCTCCAAAACCACAGCAACATTAAGACCTGACGTAAAATGCCATAAAACACAGTTTAGCATGAGACAGAAGAGAGCACAGCGGAGAGCTGGAAGACACCAAGTTATGTGTTAATGATTTAAATTCTTCCAAAACAGGTATTTGCCAAATGAAATCATCATGCCTAGAATGCCTGCAGAACAATGCAAAAACACTCTACCAGGCCCTGCCAATGTAGCCTAAGGATACTAACTCCTTCCTGATCCTCATGCAGTGGTGATGCTAATTCAGAGCCTGACACATCAACTGAGGGTCAGGTTACTCCACTTCATTGCACAAACTGCCTCAATGCCCTCTGCCTCCTTCTTATATTCACCTCCTCTTCAATGGGCAGCAAAGAAACCATAAAAAACCACACCTTTGCATATTATCAAATAATACATTTTACTATAAAAGCATAGATTTAAATAATACTCTGCGTCTCCCCATGAATTTTACCCTCTATCTCATATCTAGAACCCTAAAGTCAGAAGACCAGCTTTGTTGATGAATGAAGCCATTACCACTTGCTGGCCAATGTGAAAGGACGGGAGCCTTCTAGGGGAAAGGAAAGGATATTTGATATGCACACTCAGTAAAAATAAACTGTCCCTTGAGCATAACACCAGGAATTCAGTCTTGTTAGTTATGACTTTTCCTACGTAGCACATGCTGCATTTTACAAACAAGTTTTTAAAAGGTCCCATTTATGCATTTGGCTCTTGAAATACACGTTGACAAACAGTATCAGCAGAACATTTTCTTAGGCAATTTCATGAATGCTAAAACGAATTCTGGAAGTCTGAAATTCTTTGGCTTTCTAGATGATCTCCACATCGTAAGTACATCTTTCTAGACACCCTCTTCTGGGATTAGATACATGGGGGTTTTGACACAGCTAATTTATGCATAGCCCTCAAATGCTTTGCAACTGGCAGGCATAAGATGGCTAAGCAGGATTAAAATGGTTAATGGTCATTTCAACTCTGGATCTTCAGCCCACCTACAGACCTAGTCAATAATTCTCTGAAGAGTACTTGGTAATCTATGTAACATGAGTCTGACTGTCTCACTGTGAAGCTCAGGGGATATATCCATGTTACAAAATAACTTAGGTCAATGTAGTCAGCAGAAACTGTTGGTGTCCTGGCAGTTTCAGCCGGAATGCTGAAGTTGGAATGTATGTTTAGAACAAAACATAACTACGTTCCTGAAGGAAAATCAAGGAAGAAGAGAGTTTCAACATAAAAATGTTGGGGAAGGGGTGTCCCACATCTCTATACTCTGGGTAGAGGAAGGATTTCTATTCCCAGTACCAATGCATTCAGAATTTGTTAAAGAAGTATTTTTCAGGATGTATTTAATAATAATCACTCCAGCAAAGCAAGAAATATTGCATAGATGCTCTTACGAAATATGATTACCTGACATACTGCTGGGAATTATGGATATGTAATCATTCTTGTCCTTCTTCCGTCACCAATGTCAGCTGCCAAAAAAAAAGAAAAAAAACCCATGTAATATGTCCATAAATGCACATCTGCAGAATACCATTAGCATTTAAACAGGATGGAATATTTTGGATCTTGAATACCATGTTCCATGTTTAATGGCTTAACACATTCAATTCAAAGCACCTTGCTTAGCTGCATGAGGCAACGAATGCAAATCAAGTCCAAAACACAGCAGACTGGAGGAGCTGTGGACAGGGATTTTTGGAAGCAAGGTCTAAAAGCTGGTGGCTACTGATACAGAAAAAAAAATGCTTCTGCCCACTTCATGGAACACTATCTGTTAGGTTTTTTTCAGAATCTCCTGTAAGTATTATATGTCACCTTAGGAGCTAACTGGTTTTTACTTTACAGTTGCTAATGATACATGCCCATTACTCTCAGGTTCAGTAAGAACAGAGAATTCAAAGGAATTAGAAATCCTGTGTCTACAGTTACACCAATTCTTCTTCAATCATTTGAAATCCAAAAATCTATAAACTTTTACAAAGTTCTGAGACTTAAATAGTACTTTTATTCATTTGGTAGAAAACTAATTTATATGTACTTACTACTTTTGCACAGCATCATCATCTCTTTTATTAAGAAGACAACTGCAGCTGTGAAGAACTGAATTTAGCATTTTAAAGTCTTGGTTTTAATATTTAGATTGTGTCCTCCATTCATATGACCATACACACACACTGGCATTAACTTTTTGTCTGTTTGGTAGCAAAGATTGAAGCCCTGCAAGATCATTTAGTGTCAGGAAAGTCATGCATATAAGTTACAACATCTTCCTTCAGCAGTATTGTTATTTATACCAGACATCACATTTTTCACACAGAGGCATAGCAGGCAGCATGCCCTTGTTCTGCCCAAAACAGAGTGCCCAGCTGGATGATCCTGGCTCGCTCCCTAGTTTAAGCACCAACAATCCAATCCAAGCGGAGACAATCCTGAAGGTATTACTCCAGAATAGAGACAAGATCTCATTAGAATTTTTAAGTAAGAAATCCCGGGCCTACAAGTGACCCCACTAATGCCTGTGGAAAATTAGCCTGAGAACAGTCACGTTCTCTGGAATATCATCCCCCTGTATTCGGAACTTGTGAGGCTGCACCTTGAGTTCTGTGTTCAGTTTTGGGCCCCTCGCTTTAAGAAAGACATTGAGGTGGCAGGGTGCATCCAGAGAAGGGCAACAAGGCTCATGAAAGGTCTACAAAACATGAGGAATGGCTGAGGGAGCTGTGTTTGTTTATCCTTGAGAAGGGGGGCCTCCGAGGGGCCTTACTGCTCTCTACAACTGCCTGAAAGGAGGTTGTAGTGAGGTGGGGGTTGGCCTCTCTTCTACCCTGCCTGCAGTGAGAGGACCAGAGGAAATGACTTTAAGCTAAGACAGGGGAGATTCAGATTAGATATTTAGATATTAGAAAAATTTTTTTCCTGTTAGGGTGGTCAGGCATTGGAATGGGTTGCCCAGGGAGGTGGTGGAGTCACCATCTCTGGAGGCGCTTACGAGGTGTCTGAATCTAGCATTGAGTGATGTGGTTTACGGTTTACAGGGGGAGTGCAGGGTGGACGGTTGGACTGGATGATCTTAAAGGTCTCTTCCAACCTTGATGATTCTATGATTCTATGATCAGGAAAGACCTGCCTTTTAATGTTAGCATATTTCCACATTTTACAGTGGAAACAGAACCTCTCCTAGATTGTCCCAATCACCATCTTATGGTAAGAAACTGTCCTTTGGTCTTGTTAATGAGCTTACGGGTTTTATTTCTCTCCGTCCATTCAGTGCCACAGCCCTGCCTGTATCTCCTCTTGGTCACTGCCTCCTCACACGAGGAGCCTTTCCCTGCCTTGTCCTTAAAATAAATATCCTCCCCCAACAGCAGGCTGAAAGAACATCGAGTGCATCTGCTCTATTTAGGCAAGGACTACATCACCAACAGAATGGGAAAGCAGGTGAGCTGCAGTCCTGGGTAATTAATGTATCTGGGACGCAGCCCCGCCTTTCCACCTAAGCCCATCACCCCCGCCCCCGGCACCGAGAGTCCTCTCGGGCGCTCCCACACCCGGGGCTCCGCACAGGCTACACAAGGTGTTGTCCCTCGCTCGCCCCAGGTGCTGCTTCGCTCCCCGCTACTCGAGACGGAGTGGAAACCAGCGCCATAGCCCGCGCCCACAACACCCCAGCTGCCTGGCCGGGAGGCGCAGGGAAGCGCCGGGAAGCGCCGGGAAGCGCCGCAGCTTGCCCGCCCTCCCGGCGGCAGGGAGGAACTCGCCCCGCCGGGCCCCGCGGCGCGGAGCGGCAGCGCGCTCTGGCGGCCGCGGCACAGCCGGGAGCGCTGCTCCCTGTCTGTATCACTCGATACCTCGTTACCTTAACTGGACACGTCTGGATAGATCTTTAAACTAAATTAATTGCTTCTCCGAAAGTCGGAATTGTTCATGATTAAAAAAAAACAAGCACAACACACACACACACACACACACACACACACGGCCTCCGCTCTCCTCCAATAAACCCCAAACACATCCCTCCTGTCCCGTAAATAAAAAAAGAAGAAAGGGGGGGGAAAAAACACCCCAAACCCACAATCATAGAATATCCTGGGTTGGAATAGACCCACAAGGACCTCCTGGCCCTGCACAGGACAACCCCAGGAATATGATCCTGATGGGTTCCTTCCAACTCAGCATATTCTATGATTCAGTGAATCGCAGCATTTGCCTGAGAGCATTGCCTCAGGCTCCTTGAGCTCTGGCAGCCTCAGGGCTGTGACCACTTCCCTGGGGAGCCTGTTCCAGTGCCCGACCACCCGCTGGGTGAAAAACCTTTTCCTGATATCCAACCTAAAACTCCCAATACAGCTTCATGCCATTCCCTCAGGTCCTGTCACTGGTCACCAGAGAGGAAAAAGAAAAAAATATGCACCGATTTCTTTTTTCCTTTCTCTATTTCCTAATCATCTGAAATTATTTCTCTCTACAGTATGTTATACTTAATGAAAATTACTGATTTCAGTACATAATGTTCACTTTATTTTCAAGAACTGTTGTTCAGTACAAACAACAGAACCAGAGGGGATGATACAAGGTCTTTCTTTTTGCTACTGACATCTTGTGGAACTTCAGAATTCTTCACAGTCTGTCAATCAAGAGATGCAAGGATACAAATTTAGACCAGGCCTCCAATTAAAATCAGACCCATCCCGCCATGCCATGGGATGCTGTGAACCTCAACAATAAGCCATTTCCCAGAATTTAATTGTGGTTTGGTGACTCAGTGACATATAAGTGCTCTTGAAGTAAACAATTGAATGTTTTAAACAAAAATTCTGTCCCTCCTGTAAATAATTAGTTACTAAACCTAAAATTATTGGATTTGCACCAATCTGTTAGAAAGGAGGATTAAAAAATTGAGAAATACAATGTTCTTCAATGAATTCTGCATAAAAATTCCAGCTATCCTGGGAGTTTTGCCATTTTCCCTGATGAGACTAGAACTTGGCATAAAGGCAGCTGTCACTTGTATAAAAAAACTAATTACAAAATGACTGTAAGAAAAGATAGTCTTTTGTTTAAAGCATTACACTAACGTATCTAGCTTTGGCAGTCTTCTTGTGTGCCACAGGTTAAAATGTGCATCCTCTTTTTCCCCTCATAACTGTCTAGAATTTAAGTTTCTTGGAGCAGGTCTTGATGCTGCTATGTGAATGTACATCATCTCCCTCATCTAGCATCTCCGCTAGGTAAATTTAGCAACTGCCAAAGGATACACAGTAACTGAGCCCATTTGTAATACCTGCTTAATACCTGCTTTGTACCTGACAGTGATTTTAATAATCTTCCCAAGTGTACTGGGATGTTTTCAAAAAGATGCTTTTATACCACACTTTATATGCCAGAAGTAATTCCCATTTTTCATTCCAAGGAATGTGGCACACAGATGGTAACATTGTGGAAGTACAGTAGTATTTATCCATTCTGGCACCCAAAACCTTGACAGTCTTCTGAAGGTGCAACACAGTTGCTACTTCAAATGAGCGAGATTAAGTGGTGTCTATGTTAATTATAGCCAGTTCCTCTTGAAGGCATAGTTGTGGAAGATGTTGGAGGAAATCAGATTCTTTTTCAGAGTCTACAGCTAAAAAGCACATGACCAGGCACAAGTGGGAAAGATGCGCATGAGTCACAGACAATACTCCACTACATCGGGCCAATAATGTCTGGTAGTCTTCCCGGACATTGCAGAGTAAGTTTCTTTCTTGCCAGAAGTGACACAATTTTCATGGCTAAGCTTCGCTAATGTCACAGGGAAGAGGGAACAGGCTTTGTTAGATTATCTGTTGTGTGTTGAGCACTTATTTGCCCAAAAAGAGATACCCAAGGTCTCATGGCTCTGAGTCACAAGCCCTAAGCACGCAGTACTAATTCAGAGGCTGCTATCTCACATCCCACGTGATCTCCCTTCTAGAGAGTTGAGGCAGCAGAGTGGACAGTGTGCTCCTTCTCCATCGCTGGAGTTCAATTCTACTTCTTCTTCTTTTTTTTTTTTTTTTTTGATGAGGTAGTCTTTACCTTAATATTGGATACCACTAATAAAGGTAACAAAATGTTTACTCTGCCTTGATACTGAGTTGTGTCTCAGATCTACAGCTTCGCACCAGGAAAAGAATATTTTATACTGCCTCAAAATAAAAAAATAGAAGACATCTTTGGGATCTTCAGATCCTCTGGCCTGAAAAGGTGATATTTGGAATTAATTCTCAGGCTTTGGTCTCCAGTCTAGAAAAACTGTCCAGCCACAGTGCCAGTTACTGCACCTACTTACTTTTTCCATAATGAGAGGTGATAAACCAATTAGCATTAATCAATGTGGTTAAGTGTTCTCCCATGCTCACCAAGTGCCTCCTCCTTCATGCAACTGCACTGCATTAACCAATGGCTGTACAAAAGGAGTTTGCTGCTCAGGGGATGAAGGTGTTTTTGA